AAAATTTACAATACCAGGTTACTCTGAAACTATTTATACAGTACACGTGCTGTGGGATATTGCTTTGTGAAATTTATAACCATGTAGTGCATTATTGAATTGTGTCTGATTTGGAAATTTTTAGACAACGCAGCAAATATACTCAAAATAATTCTAACTTTCATTCGTAGGTTAAGTTTTGTTACAATATTTTACATATTTCCTGCTCATAGGGTTAACTGTCATAATATGTAAGTTACAAAAGAAAGGTGCATAGGACCCGACCCAGGACTTAAAGTGGACGGCTCGCTGGATAACATAGCCTCATTGGATCACGTACTACATCTTGTTCAAAAGTGTTTCTTCAAGACTGAATTATTGATCATAAACAATATCATACAAAATATACGACAATTCTTCACATTAATGAGACCTGGGATAGCATTTGCTAAAATCCCCCGAGAATGAATGTATACAAGCCATAAACTGTTAGGATTATCATGACGCATGACTATAGTCCCACCTGGAGCCATATCCAGGCAATTTTGCTTCCTGGAAGTTTCACGAACGGTGCTCCCCTCTTTTTATTTATAAACATATATGACTACAAACCCGTCGCCGATTTCTCATAGAAAATTAAGTTAAAAACGCCACAATTTCACTGTTTTGCAGTGGAAACTCCTAGCCGGGGGATCCACTCCCGGCATATTAAGCAAAAAGAACTTACTTTGATTTGGTGTAGTTTCAGGGTTTGTGTGGACTGAGCGGCTCGTAAACAAACACTGAGTCTGACTCACTGAGGACAGGAGAGAATCAGTGGGTCGGACCGCTTTACCGTTTATCGCCGCGAAAGACGATGTAGTGCCGCTAGTGCGAGCCTAGGGGTCTAATTTTATCTGCCAAACAAAATAAATATAATATCAAACTCAGCGTTAGAAATATACAGTAGTATGAAAAGATCCATCAAAACTAATTACGGCTGTGATGGGTCAATCGTCAATATTAACCATAATTTTATGACTTCGAAATGTGTACAAAAGTCACACAAGAAAAAATTATTATCTACAACTACTGGAGTACTTAACGCAATTTCAAAATCTACTCGATAATTAAACGTGAACAGTTAAAAAAAAAGTCAGTTTTATCATTTCATTTCAATTTCAAACGCAAATGATCAACATTTATTGACAACATATGAATAAAAAGCACAATTTGACTTTAACACCCATGTTCTTTGTGTTCACTTTCTGTTAAACTTTCAGATACAAATTGTCAAAACAAAATGGCAATGTCTAGCCTAAGCTGATAACTCTGAAATGTTTATTCTTGTTACATTTATTTTGTACTGATATTGGTCACTTCACTGACAATATTTTACCATATATACAACATAAGCCACACGGCCCACACCTATCAAAAAGCAAACTCACACTACAATGTTCAAAAGACACTGAGCCAGCCAATGGATTCAGTCACTGTGAACGACGTCTGCGAATTTGATTCTGTTCACAACCGACTGTCTTCAATATATTAATAATAAAAAAGTATAAAATCAGATAAAATAATAAGTCAATAAATTTTGTTATTGGAAAATGGAATATCATAAAACTTATCTTTCATAAGACTGAAAAAAATGGAGTGGACTGACAAGGCTTATGGACTCGGCGGAGGGTAGACTGAAGTGGGCGGGTTCGTGTGCGTGGGATGATGGAGGAAAGGCTAATAGGAGACGAAGCTGGGGAGTCGGAGGAGGAAAGCCTAGATTATGAAGGGGATTGTGTTAAGGACCTGAGAAAAGTTGGTTACGATGGTAAGCGCAGGGTAATGGTGAAGGATAGAGAGTGATGGCGGAGTAAAAACGGCAGAAGCACAGTTCTAAATAAAGACCTTACTTAGCAAAGGAGACAAACGAGGAAGATTATATATATTTTTAGGTTATATACAGATTCTATTTGAGAAAAAAGGCATCATTCTTTATAGATTAACTCAGGACTAAGGTGTAATTAAACACTTTTTTAAAAAATACTTTACTCTGAAATAAAGATACCATATATGTATAAGTTTATTTCATTACAGCAATAAACTAAAGTAAGATAAGTTGTCCAATAGGCAAGCCGTTTGGTCTTCTCCACATACTGTAACCGTGTCGCAAGTTTTCCTCAGGATCACCATCGTAAAAATTAATCATACTATTAACATAATGAGAAAGTTGCTAACCCGACTCACTACAGGTTATTTCATCTTTAAATAACATGCGAGAAATACGGGTTTTAGTTTTAATAACTTATATAAGCATGGATGAAATTTTAATCTTGACTAGTTGAAAAAATTAATAAGAGCAAACTGTATGGACTCAGGTGAGGACTCTTAAAGATGTTTTGTCTTTTCATTCGGACCTTGCAACTAGGCCAAGGGTCAGTTTGTAGCAAGGCAGCTGATTAGTTGGTGGACGGACACCTGAAGAATCACTATAGTTCTTCAGTATTTAACCTATCATATTCATATCATAATACATTAGTTTAAGGTATAATAACATTTGTGTTGGTCGCTGTTATCTCTGCTCTTCACATGGCATGGGAGTTTACGCCACAGAACTTGTTCATCATGTCCGTGTTTTCTTTGTTACATTTTTATTACCAGTGGGTTTCAGTAGTTATATTTTGCTTCCCCAAGTGCGGAAATTATCAGAGATCAACATAGAAATGTTATTTATACCTTACAATATTATATTCTCAATACGATAGATTAAACATTAAACAACCACAATAGCTTCCGGGTGTCTGTCCATCGACCAGTCAGGCGACTTGCTACAAACTGACACTAGGCCTTCAGTTGCAAGGTTCGAGTGAACAGACTATAGTTTACTTTGAGAGCCCACAAAAGTGGCTGAGAAACACAGTTTGTTTGGGAAAATTTGTAGTTTACTTAATCTCTATATCAATAACAACAATCTCAGATCACACGAATCATTAAACTTCGCATGTGTTAAGTTCTTGGTTATCATTCCAATTGTGGAAATACACTATTCCTTATCTTTAAGAATATCATATCCTGTACATTGCGACAAGGAATAGAGTTTATTTCAGTACAACTTATCACATGTTACACGGAGTATTGCGCATCCTGGGGTCCTGTAGCTTGCCACGACACTGTACTGAAATTCATATAAATACTTAGCCACACATTTTGTTCAGTTTCTAATAATCAAAATCCACAGGTAGAGCTATGGGTCTTTGAACTGATTTTTCCATTTAACTAAATTGTACTAGTATTTGACAAAAATAAACATGGAACACTTACAATTGCTATGAAATGCTTGAAATATTTTAATCTGGCTAATGCCACTCGATTTTATTCAGCTGAGGAGAATCATCACAATCAGAGGGTTAACAGAAGATCGTAGCGAAAATTCGGAATGATGTGTTGATTACACAGGCTACGCTATTCTGGTTGAACCGCATGGATAAAGAAATTAAAATTGGACATTATCTCAACCAGTGGTCAGTAAGAAATAAACCTGCAACTAACACATAACATTATTTTGCATACGAAAAGATCAATAATCATCCTCGAGTACACAAAAGTTTGCTTGCGAGAAAACTGGATACTGTGTTGATTTAACAGCAGATGGGGCTACAGGTTAAATAAATATAACAGAAATTGATAAATTATTTCTCTATGCATAACGGAATTACAATACTTAGCCCCACATGACATAAATTCTTACAACAAAGCACCTTAACATTGCGAAACATCTATATATTTGGAACATATTATATCATAAAAGACCTGTAAGGGTTTATTTACCAAATGTAAATATTCTCTGCAATACTTGGTACTGTACGTAACACACAATCATAACACTAAATGCCAATAAATTCTACGTAAAGTCTTCCTGTGATTTGTCCACATTTGCGATTTTTTTTACTTATGATAGATATTCAGATAAGGGTCACTCTTACCATATATGGTTTAGTAAATGTTAATATTTCATAGGTGATTTAGGTTAACAGCCGAGATGCAGTGACAGTTATAGGTCATGGTGAGTCATACATCTAGTTAGCATACGATTAGATTACCTTTTAATCTGGGCTGGTGTTAGAGTTACTAGCAGTGTAACAACTTGGTAATTAACACCCGTTTCAAAATGGCACACTGATCGACAGACCGATAGTTTCTTCACAACTTTTGATTTAATGGTTCCTAATTTCTTCCTTGAAAAATGCTTGAATTACATTAGCCAACCCTTCAGCCACTCACTACACGTTAAAAACAGTGGGCCAACTTGTCTGGTTAGACTACCACTAAGACACTCTGTGGTCACCAGTAATAAGCTCTAAAACCCCAATCCAAAGGCTTGTAACGTCAACAAGAAATTTATACTTCCCAGAAAATCCTTCAAGTGGTCGCATGACGCGACAAAAAGCTGTACAGCATCTTCATACTTTGGACGTGAACACTTGTAATAGTTATTAACTTTGTATCTCAGATGTCTCCCAATATCTAAGATGCAAAGGCAAATTAAATTTCATTCTTAACGAAAACAAATCTCAACGCCTTCTGCTCAAAATGAAAGGCAACAAACAGTCCCTCTATCTTTACTTTGGTTCACCGTAATATCTGCTTGGCGACGGTCTGCAAGTGGTGAAGGTTAGTTATGATTAATGTCATAATAATTTAATCAGTCTCTTCTCGGATTTCTTTAGTGCTTTGTTCCCTTACGTTATTTGCTTCCCACTAAAACTCTTCCTTGAATTAGCTATATGGACCATAACCTCCAGCTTACTCGTTATTATCTATTGCTAACACTGGGAAGATTCCAGTTAAATTTATAAAGTGACTGCACCATGTGGCCTCATCATGAGTGCTGTTTAGCTAATGAAATTACCATTTCTCAAGGATATTGCTTCATGATATTAAATTGGATCCAAATTTGCACTGAGCGGTTACCCGAATCCAGTACAATACAATACAAACAATTCATATTACTAAGTGTATATATATATATATATATATATATATATATATATATATATATATATATATATATATATATATATATATATATATATATATATATATATATATATATATATTCTTCATTCATTATTTACAGTGATTAGATATAACATATTATTTTTTTTGTATATTTACACAGGTTCCCTGACCACACATTGTTGAGCATATACCAACTTGCTCTCTTGTCACATTAGGCTACGCCGCCAGCGTAGAACTACTAAATCACTTCTTTATTCCAAAAAATTATAAAACAAAAATCTTTGGCGGTACATTCCAGAGACATGTAAGTGATAAAAATTGAGAAAAACTTATTGATTTCTCAATTATTTTGCGACACTAAGTTCATAAGAAATTGATAAGAGCTGTGATGACTGCGGTGACAGCAGCTTGACTTTTCACCCCGACGCTTTAATTGTGCTGAGACAGCTCGTGGTATTTAATTCTTGTTGTCATTGTTATCAAAACGTTCTTCTATAAAAGTATTTATCGCAGAACTTTAGTCATAATATGATAGACAAATTAGAATGGATCTATGAAGATGTAAATAACAAGACAAGACGCACATACCTTGACCAATGCATTACTTCTATACAAAATTATCTTACGTTGGCTTTCCTCTGAACCTTCTTTTTCATGCATGCGTTACGTCACCTGCGTCAGCTCTGTTAATACCAAATCCTGACTGGCGCTTAACAGTCCACGCTGATACAACTTATGACCAATTCTTGTTCACTGTTTTATCTGATCTACCAATAGCCTGGCTTTTGCCGGAAGTTTCCGGCTCAGAAATACTTTCTTGGAGCCTAATATGATTTTTTTCTGGTGTGGGTTTAAGAGTTTCCACTGTTGTCCAAGGAAGAATTGGGTACCCGTAGCCTAATCACTCAACCTCGAAAGAATAACATCCTTAGCTCAGATGTGTTGTTGTGCTTTTTGCTCCTTAATGAGCTGGCTTGGCTCTTCTATTGACCGAGCTTAAGGCTGAGGTGTCCAGTTTCACAGTAAAATAACAATCCGCTCGAGAGAACAGAAACTACCACCACTGCTCCCCCTGAACACGGCCGTCACATTCAATAATCCAAGTTTGTTGTTTTGGGTCACTTCGACAGGTTCTGTGTACCTGTTGGTTGAATTAAAATTTCTAACTCAAAGCTCGATTCACATTTTCCGTTAAGTGTACTTTTGTAAGCAATCATAAACCTTAAAGGTAAAAGATCAGTTTCCATTGTGCAAAACTTGGCGTAGAAGAGGTTTCTTCTGGAAGTTATGTACATTTTTAGCGGCGTTTAAGACACTGCCACTCACCAGCCCTTCTAAAGTTCCAATGGAACATCTTATACTGAAATTTGGGCCGAGATTCTCAAAGGTTCTTTAGTTAAATTTACGCTCCAAAGTGTATATGCAAGAACGCGCATACATAACTCACTGATACCAGGGTAAGAATGGTGTTGAAACTGCGGAAGATATGCCATAACTAAACACGTTCTCTTCTCGGTGGGGGCGGGGGTAAATGTAACACTTGAATCTTTGAGGAGCCGGTCATTGGCACTATACCTATCTATGCTGGTGTATCTATGGAGCAGCTCTACTTGTTGCACCTGTATCGAAATTGGGATATTTGGACCATTGGGTATGAATGCGGTTTTGACTAGATTATATTGTACACGGACACCTATCGTGGCTGGGATAACTGATAATATTAAACAGTATCAGTGTAATTTCCAGTTCATAAACAGTCTAGAAGTGACATGCAATATCCTTGTTCTAGGCTAGCACCGTCGCTAAGTTGGTCTAGGAGGAGGAATAAGTCAAGGGCGAGAACGATCAGACGAACACGCCAGCTGGTTGACGAGGACGACAACAACTCATCCGCTTGAGTGTTCTGTGGAAAGCATCGCGGAAATCAGTGCGGAAATAGGCATAGATGAAGGGATTGAGTGTGGAGTTGAAGTAGCCGATCCAGAAGAGGGCGGTGACGACGGCATGGGGGCAGCGGCAGGAAGGTCCACACACATTGATGCTGACGTACCAAGTGAAGAAAGGTAGCCAGCACAACACGAATGCTCCCATGATGAGTCCCAGTGTGCGGGCTGCCTTGTGTTCCCGTCGTCCCATCACCGGCAGTTGCCCAGCCTTGTTTGTCACCAGCGGCGTGCTGTGCATACGACGATTGCAGGGCACATGTGAATTATGCCGTGATGGTCCATGCCACGAGGCCGTGCTGCCATGTCGGGAGTTCCGCCACCCAATACTGCCACTGTTACTGCCATTAGTGCCACTGGACTTAACCACACTGCTGGTTCCCGCGCCGTTTCCCGCCACCACACTGTTGGCTGCTACAACACCACCGCCGCTACTGCTACGGGAGCTGCTGCTACCGGAAGGGCCCACGGACGGTACGCCCGAGGACGCTGTGGCCACAGACGCTGTCGACGACGTGTCAGTGAAGGTCTTCATCAGGAACTCCTGGTGGCGGGGCGCTGGAGTGAAAGGCGTCGACTGTAACGCCGCTAACAGCTGCTGACGTGCCACAGCTGCTGCTGCCGGGTCTCGCTGCTGGTGAGGCGCAGTGCTCAGCCTGACGGAGGAGGAGTAAGAGGCGGAATTGGCTGAGGAAGCCCGAGAGAGTAACATTCGCTCCTGTTTCCGCGCCTCCTGAAATATGCGAAAGTACATAACTACCATGACGGTACACGGCACCCAGAAAGACACGGCTGAAGATACTAGAGCGAAGACTGCGTTCACGACGAAGGCGCAGACGTAGGGCTGTGTGTCTCGGCTACGAAGGTGGTCGGCGGTGGTGTACCATCCCAGGAGGATTGGCAGGAAGGATATGAGGGTGGGTGCCAGCCAGCAGTGGGCCAACATCACGGCCAGGATGCGACGTGTAATGGTAAGAGGGTACTCCAGCGGCCGCACGATCGCGTAGTAGCGATCCACACTGATGCAACACAGGTGCAGGATTGACACTGTTGAAAAGTACACATCGAAGCTGTTCCACAAATCGCACATGACACGACCAAACATCCATCGGCCCCCTGACAGCTCGACGGAGGCGTTGAATGTCATGGCGCAAAGCGCTACAAGCATATCGGCCGTGGCCAGTGATACTAAGAGGTAGTTGGCAGTGGAATGAAGGCGGCGGTGCAGCGCCACGCTGACGATCACTAGCACGTTGCCCAACACGGACACCACGATGATAGTGCACATGACGATGGCCTTCACCACCGTCACCCCTACTTCCGTGTTCGACCACACCTTCACCTCCAACTCCGCCCCAAGCCAGGTTTCATTACCAAAGAACGGGGTGCTGTAGTCAAAGTACACTGCAGGCAATGACGTCGTAACCTGCGAGAGTTCCGTCTCTTGGGGGTTCTTGTGCACGCTGTTGTTTTGATTTTCGTCTATGTTGGCTTCATGGCGCAGCCTCCTGGACTCCCTGGTGGAGGTGATGTCCACAGCAGGAAGACAAGGCTCACAGGACACATCAAAAACTGTAATTAGGGTACTGGGTGTGGTAGAGGTAGTTGCGGGGGAGGGGGTATTGGGGATGGTGGCAGTGGTGACGGTCACAACGCTGGGGGTGGAAGACTTGATGAGAGAGGTAGCAGGTGGTGATACGACGGTAGCAGCAGCAGCAGAAGCGCCCCAAGCTCCAGTATGAGGAAGTAGAGGGCACCAGGACACCAGCAGGAGAAGCAGCAGCAGCAGCAGGGGGGGCGGAGTTTTGCGGTGCAGGGGAGGTGGACTCGGTTGGGGGGCGGTCATAACCCCCCCTGCCCGCACCCTGCAACGATAAAGAGTTGGTTAGTGACAGCATGATAAAGTGACCCTCTGGCCACGACTTAAACTACCAGCTATCTCTGAGTCTCTTCCCCGTTTAGTCTCGATCTGTATCTCTCTTCTTCTATCCCCCTCTCTACCTCTTTTCCTTCTTCGGCGTCTCTCTATATGTTTCCCTCGCTTCACCTTTCTTTCCCCCTCCCCTTCCCTGTCTCCCGCAACTACTTTAAAGAAAGGAAAATTTCCTGTAGTTTACTGTACTTATTAATTCGGGGATAACACGCACACACACACACACACACACACACACACACACACACACATATATATATATATATATATATATATATATATATATATATATATATATATATATATATATATATATATATATATATAGAGTTTGGGGATAATTGCTTCATAGTGATTACTTCAATATTTTCGGATTTGCTCTAGACTTGAAACAGATGTGTACATGGGAACAGCCAAAAAGATAAATTTAATGGGAATTATAGATTTATAATATCATCATTAACTTAACCTAACTTTACCGAAATTTATCTAGCTTATCCTAACTTAAGCTAACCTAACCTAATATCACCTAACTTAAACTAACTTAGAGTTATGATAGTAAACGACATCTTAAAGGAACAGATCAAATATACTAAAACATAAAGTTATCTAAATAAAGTTCGAGTAATAAAAATAAAAACATATTTATTGACATGACCAATGTATTAAGTTTGTGTGAAATTTATATACACGTCACCAGCTACACTCTGACCTTCAACCTTGACCACAGTGACCTAACATCGTGACAGTACTCAATGTTTACGTAACGTGTGTTGACCTCTGACCCTGAGCTGTGACCCGGACAGTTAACCTTTGTTCAATAGGATTTTCAATTGCCTTCCCCCTTTACTGTACACTATTTGTCTGTCCAGTTTAATTAAAAGTTTAATTGTGTGTGTGTGTGTGGAAATCGCCTTGAAAAATACGTCGGCTCGGATGAAACTTAACAGGTGGTTTGGTTGTCTCCTAAGAAACTGATAAAAAGTCATCTATGTGTGTGTGTGAGAGAGAGAGAGAGAGAGAGAGAGAGAGAGAGAGAGAGACTCACTTAGGTGGTCAGCAGGTGTGGGAGCCCAAGTACCCGCCTCCAGCCTTCCACCAGGAGTTCGCCATCACCACCTGCGGACACAAGTTACGTCAACACACTCACTCGAAAACAACAACAACAAATGAATAACGTTAAATATACATGTAAAGTACAGGTTAATTAATCCTATATGGTGATTACAAAAAAATGCTACCTTGGCCTCGCACGTCACAGAAACACAGCTAAAAATAGTAATGATTTCAATCTCGTCAAAAACCGCAACACCGTTCAGTAGAAGATCATATATTTGTGACGGTACGTAAAGAGATTAAATTTCCACACCAGAGATTCGTGGTCTCCTGTGGGCTCTTCATCTTCCCTATATACTAAACTATTATAAAATTAAGTACATTATTTATAGGATAAAACTCCTCGCTACCATATTGCTACCATTTATTGTGGAGTTCTCAGTTAGCACCCATTAGTAGTTTAACGCTGAACTGCGTGTGAGTGAGTGAACGGATTTTAACATTGTACATATGGAGAGTTTAAGTGAGTGGGGATGAGTAGAGTGTGAGGGAGTGGTCGTAGGCAGTGTGAGTGAGTGGTCGTAGGTAGAGTATATGACTGAGTGGGGAGTAAGCTGAGTGAGTGGTCGTAGGCAGAGAGTGATTGGTCGTAAGCAGTGTTGGTGAGTGGGCTGTCGTAGTTTATATTCACATCCAAATAAACAATCACAAATACTAAAATAAAGTCTGTGACGAAAGAGGATATAAAATATTGCATTACAAGAAATATCAATATACCCTGGAAAATGGAGCATCAACACCGTATTGATATAACAGAATGCAACGCTTCCCGCCCATACCCTTTACACAAGAAAAGATAAATAGTAATAATAAATACTACTACGACTAATAGTAATAACAATAATAATAAAATTTAATAAACGAAAATAAAATAACGAATAAAAAAAGCAATAATTTTAGTGAGGGGAAACAGGAGATGAATTTTCAAAACGTCAAACTCAATTTCCAAATATTTCGGTCATCAAAGAGAGAGGTGATATTGACGCTCTGTGTGGATTACCTATAAAAAGTGGTAAAAATTTAATGTTCACCATTTTTTAAAACGAGAGGATATTTATAGCAGTGTATGTTGTGTGTGTCTGTCTCTCTTGCTCTCTGTGAGACGGTGAGATGCAACAGACAGTGAAAGCAGAGGAGAGATCTAGATGAAATAAAGAGAAATTGGGAAAAAACAAGGAGAATTAATGTAACAGATAGCGAGACTAAGAGAAGAGATACAACAGAGATAGCGAGAGAAGAGACAAGAGACAGGTGGTTCCCTATGAGAGCGGTGGAGAGGCCGTCAACTGTCAACACAGCGACACAACGACATGCTATCTCGAATTTAAAGCGGTTTTTCCACTCCTCTTCTCTAACTCTATCTTCCAACTCTTTTATTTTACTTTCAAGTGTGTGTGTGTGTGTGTGTGTGTGTGTGTGTGTGTGTGTGTGTGTGTGTGTGAGAGAGAGAGAGAGAGCTACACATAATGTATAATGAAGATTACTTAGACGTTACGTGAATTTAAATGGGCCGTAACTCGTTTGTTTTCGCCGTTCATCTAATCTTTATTAAGTATGCCTAGTATATATATAATACAGTACATACATATATACAAACAGTATTTGCATATATACATACATACATCGTTGAATCAAAAGCATCTTTCTAAATCGGGCCCTATTTCTCTCCCTCTCTTAGTTACTCTCACCCTTTCCATTCCTTCTCTTCTCTTTCTTCCTATCTCCCTCTTTCTCTCCCTCAATTACTTCTTCCTTTCCCCCCTTTTCCTCTCTTTCTCTACCTGCCTCTCACTTTCCCTCTCTCGCTGTTGTTCTTTCTCTTTCTATACCTCTCTTCCTCTCTCTCACCTCCCTCTCTTCCTTTGTCTCACCCCCCTCTTTTCCTCTCTTCCTTTGTCTCACCCCCCTCTCTTCCTCTCTTCCTTTGTCTCACCTCCCTCTTCTCCACCAGTATTTTATATCGCCTCGTAAACTTTTTAAGTAAAGGATAGGTATTTATATAACTTTCCCAGCGTCGTCAAGGAGGAAGAGAAGGAAGAGAAAGAGGAGGAAGAAGAGGAGGGGGAGGAGGAAGAGGAAGAGCTGAGGTCTTTGGAATATAACACCGCTATTCTTATCTTCCAACGATGATAAGGTGAGGCTAACAGCATCTGTCCGTCGGTGTTGAGACAGGAACGGTTATATACCATGATGACAGGTACCTATCTTCTGTCACTGTACCGTCACTTGTATGGTGGGGGTGAAGATGTGTCGCAGAGATAAGAGGCTATGATTTTTGGTTGTTTTGTTGTGGTGGTGGTGTTACGGTTTGCGTAGTGGTGTTACGGTATTGTGAGGAACAAGATTTATAGTTGCCTACTCCCAGAACACACCAGAGAGAGAGAGAGATATATATATATACCAATGCCTCCTATCACAACAAATGCAAATATTCCTCACCTGCATTCTTACTAAATAAAAACAAAATCCCAACACGCCAAACATTAACACGAACTCCCACACTATCGTAGCTACACCTCCCAAAACTACCATTCCACCAACGGATATAATTGTTATGAACATTTCGTTAAACCAACATCAACACAAATAACTCATCTGTTCTTTATATGCCTGACATTTATCCAACATAAACAACAACAACAACAGCAAAAACAACCATCATAACGTCATTATTCGAAAAGTCGTTTTATGAGAGGCGCTTTGTTGATATTAATACACACGATGAATAATGATGGGGATAATACAGTAATAAAAACGACTATAACATCGGTAAAGTGACACCAATATGAGCATTAATGAGGAAATGTCAGCACTCATTTTTTTTTTTTTGCGTGGCTTGGTTATGTAAAATTCAGTATCTAGTAACTGCATATACGTCTCCCACCTGTGGTAAATAAGTTAACGGGGAAATGAAGTTATGGTTAGATTATGAACTTCAAACTAAGTTCTGCGGCATATTACTGTCACATCAGTGGATATTACAAGTTCATTTCAATGCTTCAAACATGGCAACGATATTATATTTTTGGAGCCTGTGTGTTTGTTTGTGTGTAAGTGTGTACGAGGAAGTCGAGACGTTAACGGTGTGTCTATGGGACTATAAAAATCACCAGATTCAATGCCAACTGCGAACCTTGGTGTGAACTCTGTCTGGTACGAAAAGTAACCCCATTTTTTTTTTACATAACCCAAGGTTCGTAATTAACATAATCACACAAGTGAGTTTTGGTTCCATAAGTCAGCCGCCAAATCCAAAACACAGTATCATGTCCTTGAATCCCTTACAAACGAGCTCTTTAAACTTCGTCACCATCTGCTAAAATATTCATGAGTCTTTCACCCCAAAACACAACTATATTTGGAAAACTCAGGGCGAGCTTTGACGAAGTTTTTGGTGCTGGCCGCCTGACTCAAATAAAAGGCGGGAAGTGGGAAGAGGGGAATATCACGTCTATTTATAGTGACCTAGATTTTCATTCAGCGGTGATAAAAGGGGGAGAGAGAGAGAGAGAGAGAGAGAGAGTTGTATAAGTAAAATATGATGGAGAGAGACAGAAAGATAGAAAAAAGTGAGAAGATACGAAAAACAGGATCCGTTAACCTAGTAAGTCAAGCGATAAATTACTACGCACAACGCCGTCTCACCCTATATAACACATCATTAGTCCCAGCGCCAAAAACAAACATTCCTAAGTTATTTCTTCCCGCAGCTGTTTATAAGAGAACGCATTTAAGTACGATAAAACCTGGTTAATCTAATTTCGCCGTCATTTAGGTCCATATTTTTTTGTACCATTGCTCTTGTGAGTCACTCTGGTGCCGACTGACCTTCAACTTCTGCATTTAGCTAAAAACTTAAATCGGATTATGTGAGATTCTGTGGGTTGAATTTCCACTTAAATTGAATTAAAATTGTGGTATAAATATGGACTCGTATCTTATTTTTTTTTTCAGCTCCTTAACTGGAGATGTGTTGAAAAAAGAAGTAAAATGGCAGTGATATTAACGTCCAATTCGAGTCTTTTTTTTTTTTTTTAAACATATAACTTAGACTTAGAGTGAAGGAGCCATTCAGGTGTGTGATTCCTCAGTTAACATAGCGTCCGTAAAAAAAGTCACGAGAGAGAGAGTCACAGCTCTAATTAGTGAAAAAAAAAATCACATAAAGCCACATAATCTTATATAGTCTTAAATAAAGGTTAGGTTAAGGTTTGTGATTTTTTCCGTGACTTTTGTGGGATTTTTATTTATTTTTTTTTGTTTTATGACTTTTTTCTTACATTCGTTTAGGCGCCAAATAATAGGAAGGAGTGACTAGATACAGAGGCTTAAGTGAAGTCGCTGATACATATCATTTTGCTGACGTAATAAAACTATACTTTATAATTATATATGGGTTTCCTTGATCATCATATGTTTTATTTAATAGTTTACCTTTAATTTAGTTTTCTTTGACTTATAAAACTGGATCTTGTACCAGTAATAGTTTAGTGGATGTTATTTCTCGTGTTACGCAATACAGCTCCTTGCCAAGTGTTCTCTGTGACTGTATATATAATAAAAAGCATAAACTCTTCAATATTACAAAACAAAATCTCACAAAACATTAATTCTCGTATTTGGTGGAAGGAGGAGCACAGAAAAATAAGGTTGTCCCCCCTATAATAAAATACCTTGGAGACTTTCCCTTTACGCTCGTGAAAACTAACGCGAAATCTTCCCTTCTCGTCACCAACCAACACAACATGGATAATTGCAATGGTGTGTTTGTCATTTATATGTTAATATCTTCATTGTATTTTCGTTTTAGAAGGTAAATTCCCTTTTTTTTACCGTGTAAGGATTCTGTTACAGGGCATCGTATGGCTTAAGGATAAAGGTTAAATATACAACTGACCATCAGCATCATCTTGCGTAGCGTGTACATCCTTGACGCCCCCCCCCCCCTCACACACACACACACACACTCCCACCAGCATTATCATAAAATAACCACAAATTTC